ACATGACTTAATTGGGGTGATTCCACAGAAAGGGGCGGGGCACTTGTCAATCAAGAAGCTCCCCTGGGAATTGCATGACAAGGTCAGTGACATAGGATTCTGACTAGATTAATGTTAAGGCACACACACACACACACACACACACGTAGTGTTTGTTCCCCGAGTAGCCCCAATTTTAATAGAATGGAGAACTTCAATAACTGACTGAATAATCCATTAATCAAATTGTTGCTTGCTGTTGCTTAAATTTTAGTTGATTCTTTAAAGTGTTAATACAATGTTAAACAATTTTAATAGTTTTAAATGAATTACCACAGTATATTGTTCTTCCTGTGTACAGAAATTATTTTTCCTGATATTGAAATATACATATCCTTATTGAGATTTCTGTACTTGTCATTTTTTTCATAAATCTTTTTAAAAATTGGTGATATTGTGTTTGGCATGCATAAAGTATGGTGAATATAGGCTTTTTTAGGCCTAATACATATGTCCCAGATTACAAAGTGACCTGTCCCAGATTATCAAATTCAGGCAGATTTTTTTTTTTGGCACAAAAAACACTAATAGGTGTGGCATGTCTCCTCTGGGTATAATATCAACATTCTTTCTTCTGGTGTGGTTAGAAAACATCTTAGGGATTTCAGAAAAGTCTAATGTGTTGATCTAATGTGTTAGATAGATATCGAAATAAATCGCAGAAGTCAAAATTGCAAAAAATTTCCCAGATTACCCGAATTCACCCTATCCTATGCACTTTCAGATTTAAAACTTGGCAGGATGTTTCATTCACTTAGAGCTGTGTTACACACTGCATGAAAGGTAATTTTCAAAAATCCATAATAGGGGCACTTTAAGTGGGTGAAGTGATGGTCAGGACAGGCCAGAGGAATTATGGGAGACGGTAGAAAAAGCACCAGGACCAGTCAGGGAAGCTCATGTGCCCATTCAGTCTCATCCTGGAATGAAATCTCATTACTTATTTTTTAACTCTTTTAATAATTTAATTGACATAAAAGAAGAAATTGTCATATTTCTGAATCTGTTCCTACCCCGGGATGTCCAGCTCGAGGTAACTAGAGATTACGCCAGCTCCAGTGTGGATCCAGCCTCAAAGAAAGACTTCAGATGACCCAACCTATGAAGAGATGACCTCTGCGAGGACCCCAGATGATGCCAACTTGAATCGATATGCACAACTGCCAAATTTTCTCTATATTGTAATCATTATGTGATCACACTTGTAATAATTTTCTGTAAAGCTGCTTTGAAACGATGTGTATTGTGAAAAGCGCTATACAAATAAATTTGAATTGAATTTGAATTGATTGTATCCTCTTGGACAATGCTGTTAAAATCTTGAGCTTGTTTGGCAAATTTCATATCCACAAATTAAGAGTGACAGCCTAATTTTAGTTTTCATTTAGTTTGGTATTGAGGTAAAGTATTTTCCCTTTTTACATCACAAAGAAACAAAACAAAAAAGGCATTAAAAAAATCCCAGGTTTTAACTAAAATTACCAAGTATATTATGATACCAAGTCTATTCCAGGGTAGTTAAGGGGTGAAATGTCTGTTTTTAATTTCCTCTCTCTATCTGATTACATCATCCCATGTCACTGTCACTTGATTGTTTTGTTAGAATTTGGTAATTAACAACAATAACAATAATAAGAAAACAAAATGTAATTTCATGTATGTTATTAGCGTGAGATGACAACATAAGAAGTGTGATCGCATGTGGAATCTCATTATAAATTGATTTAAGAACAATTGTTAAGTGGAACATTTTGCTGACAGTTGAGCTGTGATTTATAACGTCAGGTCAGTTTGAACTGGTAAATGTTATGTTGTATCTTCAATGGAATGGTTAAAGAAGCCATAACAACAGTTGTTTAGAACAGTGGTTCCCAACATTTTGCATGTCTCCTTTCTCTGACACACCAATTTCAGGTCTTGGGAGTCTCTACTAATGAGCTGATGATCTGAATCAGGTGTGTTTGATTAAGGAGAC